AAAGTATTAACATGTACATTCCACATGTATTCGTAAGTAATTATATTACTTCATTTGTGCCAAGCTATAGCATGTGGCTATCAAAAATTACAAAACATGTACTGGATCTTACTCAGAACTGGCCATTTCATTTCAGAAAGTATAAAGTTTAAATAAGAATAAAAGTTTTGCAAGAATTTTTGAACAACTTCCACCCTGATTTTGCCAACCAACTATAGCTGTAAGAGTAGATACCAAGAGCTAATGACTCAAGTTACTTACTGCTGGAAATTATCATGAATTGAGTTCAGCAAGTTAACCTGGTGAAGACAAAAACACATAGTTGAAAATGTACATCCTCCTCTCCAACACCAACATAGATTTTCAGTTACTTTAAAATGTGATTCAGCTCAGAAAAAAAGTCAACTGCATAAAAAAGCCATCTTCTTGTTTTGCAGAGCATTACACGAGGCTGTCTGCATGTACTGAGAGAGTTACAATCAGCTTACGTTAGCAACAAAAACAGTTTTACTGCTTTTCACTCCTGTTAACTAGTGCAGGGTTAAGGCCCTGTTTATTTAGAAAAATCTGCACTGGTGGAGAAGCTGCACCAATGTAAAGCAGAGCTTACATCATAAATGCAGCACATCTATGTTATAGCTTAACTATATTGATATAACAACACTAGTGAAAATTCTGCTATATAGGCAGACTTCCCAAACCAAACCACAAATGTCAATGAGGGTTGAATGTATAATACAATTAAGGTGAACAGGTGTAATAAGGGGCACCACGTGGCCTGCAGAACTTATATCACTGAAAATAATGGGATACATGACAGGACTCTGCTTGACTCATGGAGGCCAAACCGTGTTTGCAGGCCTTGAAGTGGAACAAACATCTTGAGTAGTAAACTAGGCACATTCAACAAGCAAACCATTAAATATGGGATTCCACAATGCAGTTTTCAGAGCAGACCACACTTTTCCAAAGGTCCTGAATGAAAACACTGAATTCAAAAGATCTGTTAAAAAATTCGTTTCCTTGTGGAAAAAACTTCACTTGGACATGCAAACCAGGCAACTGGTTGGCACAAATGACACTTTAGATACATTAACTTTCAATCAGAGTTAGTCATCCATGATTTGTGCCTTTGAAAACTTCCTCCGTAACTACTTGCTTTATTAATACACATTTAAAGGCCCTTTGCAAGCTTGTACCTATCAGCATATGGAACGACTCTTTCATACAAAATGAAAACTGAGACTTGTTGGGAATCTTATTATTCTCTCCAACACATTTAGAGAAAAAGAAAATCTGAGGAATGGTTGATGGGATGCTTTATCATAGCTTTGAATAGTTCAAATTAGTCTCCACTGCACACGTAGTGAAGTTTTCCAAGGTACGATTTTGCCTTTTGATGAAGAAGGTTTGAAAATGTGCCATCTGTACTGCAAGAATCCAGTTCTGCAAATAATACTATACTTAGTGTTTACTAATGTGCATATTCCCAATGGTACAGCGATAAGCACACTGCATGTTAGAGTTTGTCGAATCAAGCCCCAACCCTAACAGATTTACATCAATGATTTCAAAGAGTATTATTAGCATGCAGAAATCCGGTTCTTACTACTTAGAGGTGAAGAATACTACTAGAGGTCAGAAATTTTTTGACAAAATTTTTGTTTTGACCAACGGATGTTTTCTGACCAAAAAAACCCAAAACAAAAAAACCCAAAACAAAAACAAACACACCAAACACAAAAACAACAACTTTCTGCAAGAATATGCCAGTTTCAACAAAACTTTTGTTGGGAAAGGTTTCTCAGGTCCAGGATAGAATTTCTGGTCAAAACCAGACCAAGAGACCACCCTAAAATAGCAAATAGCCTGGTGGTTAGGGCAGTCACCTGGGATGTGGGAGATGCCGGTTCAAATCTCCCACATGAATGCCTTAATAACCAGGCTATTGTGAGAGAGAGTGTGTGTGTCATTTTTTTGTTGAAAAACTTCAAAATGTCTCATTTTTCTCCCAGTGTAGAGCAGGAGGAAAAAGCCATTTCCCACCCAATTCTACTTCATTTTCATTGTGTAAATTTTCTCCCTCTCTGATACAATAACTAAAATAGTATATTCTATCCAACTTTGGAAAAAAGCTAAAAAGTCCACCTCTGCTTACTTCTGTCAATACTAACGAACAGGACATCCTTAAGGATGGGCGATGTTGTTACATAACTTACATTAATGTATCCTGCAAAATATCTAGCAAATGAAAAGGCAGGATTTTGTGACCATGACAGAAAGCTATAGGGTAACATTTCATATCTACAAAGTCAGTGAAAAAATATGACAATTTGAAAGTGGGTTCCCAACAGTCACAGCATTTTAAAAAGTAATGCTATGCAAATTTTGTAAAAATCAACTGTATGAGCATAGATACCTTTGATGTCGCAAGTCCACCCCAGCAATGAGTTATTCCATTACTATTCTGAAATCACTCTATACACAGAATACTTCAAGGTTTTTTGTTTTATTTTTTGTAATAAGAAATACCTTCCAAAGAATCTTAAGAAAACCAAGACCCAAAAGGGTAAAGGGACATTTGGTTTATATCGGGGTGACCAACCTGTGGCTCCGGAGCCGCATGCGGCTCTTTGGAAGTCAATATGTGGCTCCTTGCATAGGTGCCAACTCTGGGGCTGAAGCTACAGGCGCAAACTTTTCAATGTGCCAGGGATGCTCACTGCTCAACCCCCGGCTCTGCCCCAGGTCCTGACCCCACTCCACCCCTTCTCCCAAGGCTCCTCCCCTTCCCCCGAGCCTGCCATGCCCTCACTCTTCCCCTCCAGAGCCTCCTGCACACAGTGAAACAGCTGATTGTGGTGGGCAGGAGGCATGGGAGGGAGGGGGAGGCACTGATGGCGGGGCTGCTCTTTGGCAACGTACATTGGTAAATTCTGGCTCCTTCTCAGGCTCAGGTTGGCCACCCCTGGTTTATATGATACTAATACAAAATATTTGTTCATTGAAGCCTTTTTTCTGAAGTAAAATTAACAAGAAAACTGAAACCATATTGTACATTCTTGACATCCAAAACCACGCAGACATCTCTTGAGATTAGCATAATCCATTGGAAACCCTTGATGTATGTTATGGCTGCCTTTTTAAATTGCATTCATAAGTATACAGTTAGGTAAAAATAAAACTCCTCACAGTTTGTACTTAAATAAGTATTGAGTTCCTTTGGGCAAAACTACTCCAGGTTTCTTTTCAATATATTTACAAAAGGAAAGAGACTGTTAGCCTTGATATACATTATTTAACAATCAAGCACTTTTGGTCTAAAATCTGTCACCTCTGTCTTTAATAGGTTCATTTCTATTTCAGAAGCAATCAGTGAAAAGAGATTAGTTTGTACGCCTGTACCCTCAGTAAATGTTATAAAAATCTGCAGTAAAATCTAATCCACAGAAGACATTAAAGCAATAGCATGAGTTCCATAGTTGCTACTTAATGTGCCATGCAAAATAAAGAATATGTGATCTGCAAATTGTCTGTTCATTTAGAATAGTGCACAACACAATAATCATTCAGGCAAATAAAATGGATATAATGCAAACAGATAAAACAAGGCATTTGGTAATATCTTTCTAGAATTTATTAGATAAATATTTATAGCCCAGCATTCATTACTGGTGTAATATTTCTTCTCTCTCTCCCCCGACCCCCTTTACACAGATTAAATCTCTAAGAGTTGGCTCTAGTCTCATAATTCTCATATCATGGGATCTATGTTCAGATGTTTTGCCGATAAATTCCACATGTAACATATAAACACAGATTTAAGTGTAAACCGGAATATATACAGCCGACTCAATTCTTTGTCTAGTAAAATTCAGCATCAGATCTCACCAGGAGATAATTTTTAAAAGCTTTTGAGGAAGACAAAACCTTAGTGACAATTTTATCAGACCAAGAGATAAGCTATATCTATGCTGCAGTGATAATTTTGTCTTGCTGATCTTATATAAATGACATATTGAATACATTTGAGAAAAACTGAAAAATATTGAATGATAAATGCACTGTAGATATCCTCCATAAAATGACATTCCTAGTTCATGTCCTAATTATCAATACAGGTAAGTTAGAAAACAGCAGGATGTCCTATTTTGATGATTATTGGCCTAATTAAAAAAAACAACAACATTCTCAGCTGTATTGCTTGGTTCAGCACAGTATTTAGGCATACTTCCTTATGTGCTTTGCTGAACTGGAACTTCACAGAAGTTATCCCAATGTCAGAATCTAAGCGACATTTGCATTACAATAGAACACTCTCCATAGTGCCATGGGCAGGGCATACCTCAGTACTGCAGCCATCTCTTAAACAAAGGTAAATGTGTAGAGTCTTAATTCATTATAGCACCATCAGAAGGTCGTTTTGGTGGCTTTCCCCACACTGACTGAAACAAAGAACTTCAGTAAATCTGTGTAAAGCCCAGTCTTGCAGGATTGCCAGTTCAAGGAAGTGTTGATAATGCTGAATGAACTTTGCATATAGCAAAATCCTGGCCCTACTGAAGTCAATTAGTTTTGCTATTGACTTCAACAGAATGATGATTTCACTTCTGAACTTTGGATGCTTATCAGAAACCAAATTTCCAAACCTTTAGACACTTGTCCATTACTAACTGATAACTCATTCTTTCTTACTGAGTAACTTTCCAGGGCTGTCATGGGCAGGTCTTAGGTCACTGTACACTAACTAAAGGAACTGTGAAAGGACGAAACAGGTCTTGCATTTTGGAACATGTTACATGCATAATATACACATACACATATATCCGAGTTCTTGATATCTTCATATATCTGTTTTTTTTCCAGAGGATTTTCATGGCAAGGGACTGCCAGAATCAACTGTTTCCTCACTGAATTCAAAGAGAACAGAATCAGACCCTTAAAACCTGACCCTGCTGCCATTGATGTTAATTTACTTTGGTAACTGAAGTCACTGGCTGTAGCATTGGTCCCTAAACTAATGCAGACACTGGATAGCTAACCCTCAGGCTAATCTGATTTTGTGAAGCCAAAATTTAAGTGGTGTGCGTCAGAATACTAATTTTATTCACCTTTTGAGCCTAAATTGAATAATTCAGATATCTATTTCTGGTGTTGGCCCTTCTGTTAAAACAATACACACATATACACACAAAATACACGAGCGGAAGTTTTCCTAAACAGAATTAAACCAAACAAACCAAACAAAGATTTCCACAAACATTCTGTAAACAGAGTTTTAGTTGCAAGTCAATTTCTTCTCAGTTCTGACCTTTTGAGATAATTACCCATACCTTGCATAGACAAGACCAAGTCCAGTGTCTATCACACAGAAACTCAGCAATATCCTATTTTCCTATCATGGGCTAAACATTTAAAAACACGTTCTTACCTCTTTTTCCAAATATACCTTCTTATCATCCAATGTATTATAGAGGGTAAAGAACTGCTTGGTTTCTTTGTGAGTTGCTGACACTAAAAACAAAAGAACAACAGAGCAATGAAAGAGCATACGAGGCACTGCCCCCTCCAATATGTTAAGGGGGATTTATTATTGTTTACATAACCTAATATTAATAAAAATGTTTTCATGAAATTTTAAAATCCTCAGTGCAACAGTCTTTCTGCATTTCAGTATTCCCATACAGTGCTAACAACCCAAAGACTGTTGTATCATGGGATTTCATGAGAATCAGAGTGCAGAACTGAACAGTCTTTTTTATAATCTTCTCAAAAAAGGGTTGGGAGGGGTTGGAATTAATGCCAGTACAGCATTCAGCCTGATTAGCTGTTTTAAGAAGACAAAGAACTTGTCTACATGGGGAAGTCAATGTGCAGTAAGTTAGGATGTGAATTTAAGACACACTACCTACTCCACACTAATTCCCTGTATGCACTCTTACTGTGCATGAAGCAAACCCTCTGACCATTTACTGCACTTCACAGCTTAATTCCCCAAAGATTCCATCCACAATGATCATGCTCCAGCCCAGGTTTGAACATATTGTGTACTATAGAATGATATGCATTCTGAAAATTCAGGTTTTGGAGGTCTCAAATTGTGCACCCAAAATTAGTGGATACTTCTGACCTTAATATCTCTGTGCCTCAGCACCCATCCGTAAAACGTAAAATGGGGATAATACCTTCTCATTTCACAAGGGTGTTGTGAAAATAAATTAATGAATATTTGTCAAGCTCTCAGATACCACAAAGATGAGCACCCTAGAAAATCCCATAAGGAAATTAATAGTCTCTGTCTATAGAGCAGGATTTGAATAGTGTGCAGCAAATAGGTCCTGAACAATGAAGCGAAAACAAAATATTGAATAGCTGCTAACTAAATGAGCATTGTCCATTCTGTGCACTGAATGAGGCTGGGTTGCTGTGCAAGTACATGATCATGTAATTAAAGACTATTACACTGCATATGCACAAGGGAGCCAATTAAAATTGCACTGCCAACCTTAATTCCAGCATTTCCTAACTTTTGAGTTCTTGACAAAGCAACCTTAATGTTCTTTTAAAATAGTTTGTGTGTGTGTAACATAATAAACTCTGTGTATATGTCTGACTATGCACTGTTCACAGCTGAACATACAACACACACACAAAGTACATATAGTATATACATACCAACAGATGCATAGTATGCGTTCCTCCTTTCCTGACATCATGATTACAGGAATAAATTTAGAAGCATATAAACAGAACGGTCAATTTGCATGCCCAATTTTATTATCTGGGGGCACACGCACTTCTAAGAATTTGGGCCATAATATCTGAATTACAGATTGGTAGGGAAGAAATTGAGAGGGAAGGCTCACACTCGTCTTCTGCCTAGATATCGCAGCACATTTGTAAAACCTGACAATTTTCTGTTTCAACTCCTCTAACCTGCAGCAATATTGGGACATGAGGTGTTTAAGAGAGCCAGCCTTAACTACAGATTTCTTGACATTGTTTGGGTCAGAACCACACATACTTATAAAGAAAACACACACACGTCATACAAAAATGGTAAACCAACGTTAACTGTGATTAATAAAACATGAGTCAGATGTAGAGACTTTCCCTGTAAATGGTGGATTAAGGGCTTTCTAAACACTAATCATTGATCCAAGAGACTGAACCTACTGCAAACAAAAGAACAATTACTCCAGAGACCTCGTGCATCAAGTTTCAGCCTCAAGGGAATTTTTATAGCCAGTTTATAAAACCTTGAAAAGAGGGGTATACAATGTGAATGTCCAATGACCCTTAAATAGAGCAGAATTAGCAGGTGCTGTTGACATGCACCATAAGCCTATAATGTGATTACGCTCCTTCCACTGGTTAGCCTTCAGAAGTACATTTCTGTTTGATATACGTACCCTGACCATAAAGTTCGATAAATCTCTTCTGATACTGAGTTAACTCCGCTCTGCTGGGTACCTCATCAATCTTGCGTTGTAAAATAGCTATCTCTCTATTTCTTCGGGCCTGAGTGAAAGGAAGGGAGAAAAAAAGGCCCAGCTCTCATTTTAAATGGATAAAAGATAGCAAGATTAGAAATAACCTGGTAAATAAGCTAATAAAAAAATACCTGCACAAAGGAGAGTTAATATATCCGGTAAGTTTTGTTAAGCCTCAAGATTTATTTCCCAACATTAATTATAAAGGTACTTGCTTACACTTACAAATGTTGAAGAAATTTACAGAAATACATTTTAGCGTTTAGCTAAGAAAACTTCAAAAATTCTGTCCTAGTAAGTTTGCCAAAAAACAAACAAACAAAAATCACTTTGTACTCACCAGTAATAGTCTGATCTTTTGAAGCTTATCTTTTTCAGTTTTGTATTGCTGGTCTATAATCTTATTAGGTTCCTAAAATTTGAGAAACCAAAGATAATCTCTGATTAACAGGCAAATCAACAGAATTTAAGCATGGTCTTAAAAAAAGAGCGGCTTTTGGTCAGCAATTATAAAAAATACAGATTGGATTCTTTATTTTGTTCACCTTTAAGGATATCCAAAATATTGCCAACATTTTTATATTATTTTAAGGCGAGTGGGTCAATGAAGCTGAATGAAAAACAAAATTTAAGTTCTGAATGTCACTTACACTACATAAATAATTGCATATTTTACTAGCTTTTAGGCCTTTGAGATATATATATATATATATATATATATTATATAAGATTGCTAAGTAGCCTTTTCACTGAGAACAACACCTCCAAAGAGACAATCGCTAAGTACAGTAACATGCAGTTAAAACATAAAAGTTGTAAATCAGATTATGTTCTCAGTTACCACAAGTGTAAAACTAGAGTAACTCCATTGACATCAATACATTTGTTATCAAGGACTTCTATGAGACTACTCATCTGTGTTAAGTGAAGCACATACATTATTCTATACAGGATGGAGGCCCCAAATTATCACCATCTTCCTTTGATTCTCCCATTGTGTTGTCCTTAGGTTTCTGTTTATCTTTCAGTTTTGTAGGCCAGGGATTATCTAGGGCCTGTATGGTGCCAAGTGCACAAGTAGGCACTTAAGCAGTGATCACCACCATCACCACAATAATAGTGACCATGACACCAATAATCATAACAATAATGATAGCTACATCAATCAATCATATCTAGGTGCAGTTCACCCGCTGGGACAGGGCCTGTACAAGATTCCCCCATGCCATGTTAGCCCTATATTATCCATGCATAAGAGCCCCTTTATTCTCCCTCCCTTGTCTTACTCCACCCTAGTGCTCACACAGCACCAGTTGCTGCAAACCACACACAAGGGTTTGTTCAGGCTTTGGGTGGGGGGCAGACAGGTGGAAGTTTTGTTCTTAAACTGTTTCAAATCCTAAAATGACTAGTTAAAAAGCATTTCTGTTCTGTTCATTTTTAATATCTTCTGGAATATTGAGGTACAGCACACGCACCAGGTATTTAAGTTCATTCTGTTCTCATCTCCTTAAACCATTTACTTTAACTTCATTGAATAAGTGACGTTACAGAGAGAAATTTGGTGCAGGGCTGGTATTTGTTCTGCATTTCCCTGCTTTTGTGGATTTCCAAATCAGATCTTTCATGTGAAACTTTAACCTAGAAGTCTGAAGTTTCCTCTCCATGCATGTTGTGTTCCGGAGGTGGGGGATAAAGTTACATGCGCTGCCACCCACTCGATTCTGGAAGAAGTGTATAAAGGCCGCTCTAGTCATCTCAAGGTATACAAAGTAACTAAACCTGAGCCTCCACTTTTCTCCACTATAACTCCCTGCCCTCCTATTAGCAAAGATTAGGGTGACCATATGTCCCAATTTTATAGGGACAGTCCTTATTTTTGGGTCTCTCTCTTATATAGGCTCCTATTACTTCCCACCCCCATCCTGATTTTTCACATTTGCTGTCTGGCCACCCCAGCAAATATGCATGGTAGCAAAGTTTCACAGTGACTGCTACTTGTTAAACTGTAATCTCATGCTCCATTGTTTGTTGTATACACCTGTTTATTATTTTTTTTACTTATATTTGCTCCTTGTGGTGGGACTATCTTTTTTCATTATGCGTGTACAGCAGCTAGTTTGATTGGGGACACTAGGTACCTCAATATCTATCTATATATTTGCTTTTAATGTTTGCTAGTTAGCAAGAGTGCCGAGGCTATTCCTGAACCCTAGTAACCTGCATGATAGTCAATCTGTTATGCACGGTTAGTGGCTGTATGTTTCAAATTCCAATTGGTGGTGGATTTTTTTTTTTTTTTTTTAATACAACACAGGTATAAAAAGGAAGAAAATTACCCAATGAATATTTTTAAATACTAATGAAAAATCAGCCTTTTGACATTTGCTGTTTACCTTTTCTTCCCCATTTTCCTCTGCTTCGGCTTTCAAACTCTCAATATTTTGCTGTAGGCGTGCCATCTCTTCCTTTAAAAGCAACAAAAACATTAGTTACCTTCTCAAGAAAAAAAAAAGCCCAAATCTGTATTTTAAGAACTTCTGCATTAGACAGTACTCCACGATGTACATGTATTGGGAACATTAAATAGCATTCTGCGCTAAGGGGAGAAGGAGGCGAATGTTCTTCATTATGTTAAAATGCATGCCTTGTTTTTCCAAGTAGAAATAGCCACATTTCTTTCTTATATATATACTTTGGATGCATCTTAAGCAACTAACACATAATATGGAAAGCAGGACTGGAGAAATGTAGGCATGTTAAAATACCAGCACCCTGACACTGGTCTGCCGTATGTAGACACCACCACCACAACTGCACCCAAGACAAGTTAAAGGCTGCAAAATTATTTCCATTATAACCCTCTGTTTTCACAACTTTTCAAATTATTCATCTTTGGGGCTAAAATGTTCCATGCTTAGTCTCTGCTGAGGGATGACATTTCTTCTTTTTCATTATGTTTAAACAAAACCTCTTCAGCTGTTGTTGAAATAGGAACTAGAGAAGGAAAACAATTCTCTCTGATCTTTTTTATCATATTTCCAGGGTGTGCATCACCATAGCAGCGAACCGAGCAGAAAACACATTAATTATGCATTGAAATTGAAACATACTCTTAAAGTAGTAAGGCTTGATCTTGGGCTTCTCTCTTCTGGTGGGTTTTCCAAAGCCAGTAGCCCTTGACCAAGAAGTAGGTCCTGGGCACTGTTAGCTGCACTGTCCAAGAGGAGACCAAGCTGTCTCAGTGAATAAGATAGAAGGGTATCTAATGTAGCTAGGCCCAACACTGAATAGGCTTTTCAGTGGTGTTATTTGTAGCATGGTTCATGGAGTAAGACGATACGTAACCGTGCATCAACATACTGATGACACTATTACCTACATTTAGAAATGATCCTTCCAAGAGGCCTCTTCTGTACTACGCAAGCTGAATGACAGGTAACACAAGACAGAACCTTGAGGGATGCCACAGTTTAGATACAAATGAATAGGTGGTTGATTGTGTGTCCTTGCAAAGGGTGTCTAAAGACCAATGGCGAGCACTTCTGGCTAATCCAGAGCTGGATCTGCAGGCTTGTCCAGCCTAGTTTCAGAGATATGTTAGATGACAGATCTAGGTGATTCTCCACAATTCTGTCATGGACCGGGTTGGCATTATTCAAAATGGATCTGACATTACCAGTAAATACCAATAAACAAACCTAGTACAGGGCAGGTGGAGGTGGGCAATTACATTTACCAATTTTTGATCAATCTTCATGTAACAAGATAGGGAGACAGAGAGAGACACTTACCCTACAATGAGCTCTGAACTCTTGCTCTTGACTTTTGAGATTTTCATTCATAGCCACCAGTGCTCGTAGGTTCTGCAATATGCTAAATTAGAAGACACAGCAAACTACATTCATTCTTTCAGTTTCTAAATTTACACACAAGAAAAATTAAGCTATTAGAACAAGGTTAATTTTAAACAAGTTTTCCTGCCACTGAGCTAAACCAAACAAACACAAATATCATTATGGTGCCATGGAAAATAATTAAGATTTGGTACTGCACAGATTATAATGCTTTCATGATGCTTCCCTCCAGTCCTCGGTTACCTATAAAAAGTTCTTGGAGCGCCTCCCGGATATATAGTGTAGTTTTTTTCAAGACATGGGCTTTAAGTAGGGGGGGAAATGGATACGGAAAGCTTTATCCTCTTGTCAAATCAGCTTTGGGCCCCTCTGGTTGCAGTACATATCGAAACTTCTCCAATAAAGGAAGAGTTTCATTTTTAATTGCTGATTATGGTCATGTTGGGTGAAATTTTAAAGGCTCAAATAGGAGTTTCTAACTTCTACTAACTTTCAATTGGAACTGGGGTCCTAACTTCTATTTATGCCTTTGAAAAAATCTTCTCCCCCCTTGTGGCACTCTAAATGGAACTTATCCTACATCTTCTTGACTTCTGAAATTCCAGGTTGTCCCAGAGAACATGAGCCATTTATTTATTAAAAGGTAAAGAGTATTAAAGATAAAATAAACAAGCCAACCACATTTAAAACAAATCAAGCAATTGGAAATTTAATAGTTTGTGATACCCAACTCATTCTGCTGTTCATTCAGGAATTGTAATCTTCATTTAAGATTATGAGATTTGTTTGACATTCTAAAACTGGCTATTGTCAATTAACTATGCTGACATTTTGCAGAACAAAAAAAAATACAGAATTTAAATCCACTGTAGTAATAATTTGGGTGCTTTTCTTTTTGTCTAATTAACTGTAAAACTGCTTGTGACATTCTATACCTTGGAGGAGCATCTTGTAACCCCCATATTCCTCATCGGTATATAATTGTGATATTGCATATAAAGCAGGCCATGTAAAATATCAGGGGAAACGTTATGATCTGCTGAAAGGCATTCTTCTATCCATATATGTATACCATTAATGCATATGAAGTTATGAATCATGTGGTATGGTTGTCACTAAAACATGCTGTAAGTTGGGGAATCAACCAGATAAGGAGGTGTTAGTACCGTTATACAAGGCACTGTGAGACCTCATCTGGAATATTGAGTGCAGTTCTGGTCTCCCATGTTTAAGAAGGATGAATTCAAACTGGAACAGGTACAGAGAAGGGCTACTAGGTGATCCGAGGAATGGAAAAACCTGTCTTATGAAAGGAGATTCAAAGAGCTTGGCTTGTTTAGCCTAACCAAACAAGGGGAGATATGATTGCTTTTTATAAATATATCAGAGGGATAATATCAGGGAGGGAGAGGAATTATTTAAGCTTAATACCAATGTGGACACAAAAACCAATGGATATAAACTGGACATTAGGAAGTTTAGACTTGAAATTAGATGAAGGTTTCTAACCATTAGAGGAGTGAAGTTCTGGAACAGCCTTCCAAGGGCAGTAGTGGGGGCAAAAGACATATCTGGCTTCAAGACTAATCTTGATAAGTTTATGGAAGGGATGGTATGATGGGATAGCCCAATTTTGGCAATTCATTTATCTTTGATTATTAGCAGGTAAATATCCCCAATGGTCTGTGATGGGATGTTAGATGGGGTGGGATCTGAGAATTCTTTCCTGGGTGCTGGCTGGTGAGTCTTGGCCACATCCTCAGGGTTTAACTGATCGCCATATTTGGGGTCGGGAAGGAATTTTCCTGCAGGGCAGATTGGCAGAGGCCCTGGAGGTTTTTCACCTTCCTCTGCAGCGTGGGGCACGGGTCACTTGCTGGAGGATTCTCTGCACCTTGAGGTCTTTAAACCACGATTTGAGGACTTCAATAACTCAGGCATAGGTTAGGGGTTTGTTACAGGAATGGGTGGGTGAGATTCTGTGGCCTGCGTTCTGCGGGAGGTCAGATTAGATGATCATAATGGTCCCTTCTGACCTTAAAGTCTATAAGTCTATGAGACATTAGGTCCCCAGAGGCAACAGCAAGGAAAGTAACCAGCGTACAACCCATCAACAGCTATTGTCCAGCAAGGGAGCTACAATTCAATGACTCGCCTGCATGAGGCCACACCAGGGGAATTGCTCAACTTTGCCTGGAGATTCAGCAATGCCCACCAGACATGCCTGGACTTGTGTTCCCCAAGCACATGGGACAGAGTATAAAACAGAACACAGGGGCCCCATGCTTGGCCTTTCTCCTACCCCCACCTATGCTGCAAGCAACCAAGACATTCAGAAAAAGACTGAAAACTCCAGAGGAGGCTGGCCTAGATTTACAGGACAAACTTGTATATTACGGACCACAATATCCAGTGGGGTGAGAAAAACTGCTTAATCTAGACGTTACCCAGTCTAAGAGGGTTGAGAGTTAGACTATGTGCTTATCTTTTATTTTCTTTTGGTAACTAACTCTGACTTTTTGCCTATCACTTATAATCACTTAAATCTATCTTTTGTAGTCAATAAATTTGTTTAACTTTTATCTTTACCAGTGAGTTTGCCTAAAGTGTGTGGCAAAACTGCTCAGGTTTGCAAAAGCTAGTGTATATCCACTTTCCATTGATGAAGTGGTGAACCAATTAATAAATTTGCACTGCTCATCTTGAGCAGTGCAAGATGGTATATTCCTGAGGTACAGTGCTGGGAGGATTTGGCTCTGATGGCTTTCTCTGTGGGATTCATGAGTGGCTCTGGGAGCATTCATGCAATCTAGCTGGGTGTAGGCCTCCACATGCGGTTGTGCTGAGTGCTAACAGCACCTGGAGCGGTTTGCTGCTGGTCACTAGCATGGCACTGTGAGAGACAGCCCAGGCTGGAGAGAGATAAGGGGGCACAGCAGTCCCACAGTCCCAGGCTGCACCCCGAGGGTCCCATCACACTGCGGTCCACTAAACTGAAAACAGACTCCTCACAGCCATATATTAATTATACATTTAGGCTGAATAAGAAATAAGCACTGAATGCTACATTGCCAAAGCCAGCAGTTTTCAATGATCATAAGTCACATAAATGAAGAAAATATACCTAGAATCTGCTTGGGATTCCACCGTTTCTAAGGCTGCCAGCTCCTTGTCCAATTTATCACTGTAACTCTTAACCTAAGGGATGCAATTAATAAAACATGTAAATACATTTGCACACAGAATGATTCATGTTTCTCTGCCTTCCCACACAATGAAGCCAAGGAGATGAGCTTTCTCCAAATAAAAGCTTTAGAGAATTCCCTAGAATCTTTGGCTCTATTTCTTAGCCATCATTAACAAGTAAGATTTCTTTCTAAGGTTAGCAGAATTCCCTTACCAGGTATGAGTACTGCAAACATGACGAATGTACTGACCGTTACACTTGCCCTCTACCTTGCCCTCCCAAATCAATACGTAGAATCCCTGTTCCACAGCAAGATGGATAAATGAATTCTACATTGCACAAGACTGTACCAAATGCTCCTGTCTCTCTTAATTCAGGAACCTATCTACATACGAGCAGAACTGTCATATTTCATTTTTTTCAGGGCTGTATGAGTCAGTCATAAAAACCTTGCCTTGGAACAAAATGTGAAAGGTCAACAGATCATGTTGTTTAAAAAAAATCTTATCTAAAATTAAAATCAGATTGGGGTTGTAGAAAAGAAATATTATAACTGACTGATTCAAGACTTCTGTGCTCTTTCTTCCAATGAACTTTTGTAGCCCACCATCTAAGCATAAAACTGATTCAGACTATATACCTACACAGGGGAATCGGAATCTGCCTTACACACCTATATGGGCTGCCTGGACCTCCAGTGCAGGGACATAGGACTAAGCAGAGCTAATAATGTGCTTACTCCCTCCCTGCAGTGTGTGGACAGGGAGGAGCAGAGGAATGGGGGGAGTCTTTACTACACTTCCTGTTCTTATTGATCCAAGAAGTTGAACCAGTGTGGGGGAGTTGTACTTCGCTGCTAGTAGAGGCCAGCAGTAAACTACTATCCCCAGGTAGCAAAGAGGAAGGAGGGAGATGTATGACCACTGGTACAAACTATACTGATCAGCTTAAAGCTCAGAAGGGAGCCAAGGCTTTAACTCAATCTAGCTGAGCCAGGCTGAAGTACAACAGCTTGGTCTGGACTAGAGCACTGGAAGGTATTAATTAGAATGGACTAATTAACAAAAATGTACATGTCCCAGCTTTTATATTTAACCTAGAGAAGGTCTCAGAGAGGTCTCTCTGACTCACACCACCTCCCAGGGCTACTCGTGAGTGGTGCAGTTTATTTGCTACCCCTTGTGCGTGTGCAGAGTTGTGCTTCAAGACAACAATCTAGTCGTAAATGTGCTACATTCTTGTACAGTGATGAGAGAGATAAAGGGACTGGATGTTAAATAGTAAAGATTTTCTGCTGTTAATATGAATTTTACATGCCTGGTTTATGGACAGATTCCCCCATATTGTATAATTTTACAATACAGTTCTATTTCTCATGGGAACAGAAACTGAAGAGGAAAAAAATTATGTTTACATTACCTTTATCCCTATATGTTTTAGCAACATAGATGGGCTTACAAACTATAAATAAAGATCACTTTGTCCCTGCTAAGGTGGTGAAAGCCCCAAGACTAAGGAAACCTATAAAGATGATGAACTAGGGATGGATTCTCCATGGCATTGGCAGGGGTTCATGCACGACATATGGTGCAGTTTCATCAAAGAACAGCTTGAGTAGAGACGAACCTTAAAGGTGAACCACAAAGCTTTTGTTAAAAGTAAACAACTCAAGATGCAGTCTTATGGACAGACAGTGGAATTATCTTCTGCTGCAGCAAGTGTTCAGGCTTTCTTTGAGAATAAAACTGCTCAGATTCAGATGCTAATGGCTGCACTGTTGGCACCAGATCCATGTCTGAAAGTGCCAAATACCTCTGATTGAGTTCTGTCCATTTCCACTCACTGAGGTTCTACAGGTGCTGGGAGGTGTTGAGTCTGTTGGTGGTCATCAGTACTGGCACTCTAAGGGAGGGTGAGTACTCCAGTGCCCCTCAAACCTGAGATTAGGCACTACCGGAATACTACTAATATCATAAAGACCCAGCATGCCACCAATGATTGTAGCAGGAGCTGAATACTAGGAAGTCTTGAAAATAAAACTTGAACTTGAAAACATGCAAACTGTTAAACAAAAGGACACAAGTGCACTTAGAGATTCTGTACCCCATGAGTGGCAAAAAAAGAAGGAACACAAACTGACATATCGAATCACACAAGTGACATACCTAGTTCAATAACCTGTTTCTGGCTATACATTCCAAACCCTTAGCTAAAACTGTAATCTCTTCTACTGAAATGAACCCCATTAGCTTTGATACTACAGTCACAGGTGGTATAGAAAACCTCATTACTCTGACATCATGACAGAGACCTTCAATTAGTTCACTACAATGATCCAAGACTTCAAAATAAAACTAAGTTTCCTAACATTTTAAACATAAACATACTTTAAAGTCAGAATTAACTACATGTAGAAAGGTTCAGGAAAGACAAAAAAACTTTACAGTTAACATCTAATCACATTTTTACTGCGTTTCCATGGCATCACAGACTATTTCTTTCTTTGTTCCCTACATTTAATATGGTGTTGCAATTACATTTCCGTTCATTTCCTTGGTAACCTGATGTTGATATGTATGGATTTATATACAAAATGAATAAGCTCTTTATATTACAGCAAATTTATACCAGATTATGAAACCAATGCTACAGATCCAAATGCCAACTGTTAAATATTGACCATTTCTAAAACTGCACTGCATGTCAATCTTAAAATCAGGTAGATCATCCTGCACTTTGCTGCTTTTGTTCTTTTGTCCCAATGAAAACTTCATCAAAACATTCTGGATTCAACAAAACAGCATATTTTGACAACATGAAATTTAATTGACAATGTTCTGACCAGCTCTAGTACAGTGAAACCCCGCTATAACGCGATGATTGGGGTCCAAAAAATTCGATCCCGATAAATGCGGGGTCACAGTATAGCGAGGTTTACCATTTGAAGCTGGTCAGTTTCAAGCTGGTCAATTTCTCTTGGGCAGAAAACAACTTGCTTTTGAGAACTACCCATAACAGTAACTGAAAGGGTGCAGCTCCAGCAGTGTGGGCTCTCAGCCATGCAGCGAGAGAGGGAAACACTTGGGGAAAGTAGGGGAGACGTGTAAGGGGCAGAGGAAGAGCGAGGAGCATCTGGGGAGGAGGAGGGCTCTTCTCGCCAAAAGGAGAAGCTAGGGAACGGGGGGTGGGGTGGGGGAAGAGGCAGTGGGGAAGGCACATTCCATTTTTTGTTTTTTTTCCCCTTCGGCAGCATTCCAGCCTTTTTTTTTTTTTTTCCTTTTTTGCGCTCTGGCCGCTTTTCTTCTTTTTTTTTGCTTTTGCGGCGCTCCGGCCGCCTTTTTTTTTTTTTTTGCGCTTCGGCAGCACTCTGGCCGTTTTTTTCTCTTTTTTTTTTGCGCTTCCACGGCGCTCCGTTATGTATCCAAATTCGTGTTATCGCAGGGCACGTTATAGCGGGGTTTCCCTGTATTTAGATTAAACAGCATTGGATTAAGTGCCTAGCTAAACCAGCATGGTACTGTACTAGCAGTTCTATCAAGTCTAAGTATTCCAAATCCAATGCACTGGTTGCAGAACCACCCCGCAAAAATACCAGTTTTCCTCTCCGCCAACATGCTTCAATGCTGCTGGGGAAGGATCATTTCTATGGTAACAGTTAATTTCTCTACCCATTTAATTCTTAGTCTTACTGCTGAGTTAGTCATTGGGGATGTGGACGTAGCTACCCATTTATTTGGAATGCATGTCAAATTGGATATCAAACAGCTATCAGATGGAAACAATCTTTAGTCTTGACCAAACTGGGCTAAAATTCAAAACTATGACCAAGAGATGAAAGATTCTGTATATTCTATTACTAATCCAGAGAGGCAGCTAGCCCAGGAAAATTCATTTAAAAAAAAATACATGTTTATTTTTGATGGAATTGAGAGGAGATTACAATCTCACCTGAATTTATGACCATCCACTGTTTTATCTCCCCAAAATCATGCAGAAAACCAACAGACTGGCATCAGCAAATTAGCTACACCCACAGTTTCAATAGAATGAGATGAGTTAGTTTCATGAGCCACAACTCCAGTAGTTTCTGTACATTCTGCCTATATCCTGGTCCCACTTCACACTCAACCAGAAGTACTCTCCTCAGTGTCCCCAATATGATCAGAAAAAAAATCCCCTTTATACTATTAGGACTCTCTGATTTGATTGTCAAAACATTTCTCAGTGGGAGCAGAGTTAGGCCAATGCTGAAAGCTTTTCAAAATCCCACCCTTTGTGTATATTTTGTCTATGCAGCAATAAAAGAAGTAGGGATCTAGCTGGGCAGTACCAGTTTCAAAGAAATACTTGTGTCTGTCTAATATTACACGCTAGCCTCATAAAACAAAGGATGAGAAAAGTAGTGTTACAGTTTGATATTATTACCACTACCGTCACAGAGGCATACATTCTAAATTGGTTCTTTTCATCCTTCTATATGCAGGATACGTTCCCTGAAGAGGGAAGCAGAAGAAATGTTACATTTTACAAAGGGGGAAGAAAGAAAGATTACCTCAGTTAATGTCTTCTTTGCTTCACTACAGCCTGCTTGCAGGTCAGCACATTTAGCTTGCAACTATTATCAAAGAAAAAGAAGAGTTTGATTCCACATTCACACTAATTACACCTGTAACGGAGAATGGCAATATTTGAGCTACTGAGTTATTTATTACATTGAGGTTCACAATGGCTGTCTTCTACACAAGAGGAAAGCTGTCAGAATCACAGTCTTTCCCTGTCAGATTCTTAGTCTACATTCTGTTACATGAATTTTGGCTGAAAAATTCAACAAACGTGTCAGACATTTACTGATGAACTCTCCAGATGCATTAGCCTTAAAACAAATAGATGTCAATGGACTGGTTACTTGCGGGATGGAATCTTTGTGCTGTGGAACTCCAAAGAGGTTTTAACAATAATCTAGACCAGTTACCTTATATTTCATAGCTAGACTGGAATGAGGGTCACGTTAACAAGCTACCTCTACTCTTCCAGACAATTTGGTACATTTGGGAGACACTGGGCTGTACATTATTGTTCTGATCATGGTCACTGATCTCTTCAAGTAACAGTCAGGAGGAAAGACGATTTTAGCAGCAGCAGGGTATTTACTTAATATGCATCAACCTATTATGTCTTTATTAAGACAAAAAGTCTAAGATGACAGCAGCGAGGAAAGCTCTACTGACTATTTCACCTTGTCACACAGAAATTACAAGCTCCCCTGATAACATATGAAATAATAGAGATATACAGTACTTTACAGGTAAATAATAAGAAGGTCCTTTCCTTTAGGCCCAGTTTTTTAGAGGAATTCAGGTGCCTAATTCCCACTGATTTCAATGGGAGTTAGGTGCTCAAATACCTTTAAAAAAATCTATTCCATAAAATCTCTGTTTACACATAACTCTACAAATAGTGAGAGCAGAAATGGAATTGGGGTCAGAAGACGGGAGGACAAATGATGCAACAAAAAGATCACATAGTTGCCTTGGTTAGTTATTGATGAATCTAAAGAATTTTGCTCTCTTTTTCTCTCTCTAGAGTTTGGTTTGCTGCTCAAACTAAAGTTGTGGATCTAAACACTCCATTAACTCAACTCGTAATTTTTGCAAGACTTCTTATAGAATTTATAATATTAGCAAAGTCTTTCATGGTGTTCCTGAGGAGTCAGAATTAAGAGTTCCAAAAACTCCAAAAATTAGAATTTAACCTTTAATCCTGTTTGCCAGTTCTCACTAAGGATTAACATATAAAACAAATTTACATATTTTTTAAACCAAGCAGTTTTGAACTATGAACCAAGCTTATTGCAGTATTGGGACCTAAGACTTCAAAACGTGAAACCTAAAAGCCCTCTCTCAAAAACACTGCAACCAATTAACTTTAAAGCCTCTTCCCAATCAAACTTCCCAAGTCAAAACAAAATTCTCCTCTGGCCAGAGGTGGTAAAAAATTTAAGAAAAGAGCTTTACTGTAAAGTTAAAAAAGGGGCTATATTTGGGCTTATAAGGAAACTTACAAACTAGAGAGTCAATAGTATTACTCCAGACTATGCAAAAGCGTAATATTAGGGATATAAAGTTCTGCAAAGTGGCATTACTCGTTTCACAAACACATTTTCATATTTTTTAAAATTGTTTTTCCTCTTCCTTGTTGTTGTTTGTGTAGGTCTTTCACACAACAAGGGGAACTGACAGGGGAATAGCTCAGAAACGAAAGTAAAGGGAGAAAAGTCAACACGTTTAATATACACCAGATGAAAGAACTATTTCTGTACTACTGGTCCAATGCTCACACTAGCGTTTAGTACTGTGGAAGAAATGGACCATCTGTTCCAGTAGGATTCTTCTGAATATCGTGCTCATGCTTATTGGCACAGGAGCAAGTGACAGACACACGTTTAACACTTAAACATTTAATTAACAAAAAAAAAAACTTTTTTTAAAGGGCAGGAGGAGGAAGGAGAAAAATACAGAGCCAGACTCTCCTGCTTTCCAGTCCATGTGCCACGGGAGCAGCACAGGGGCTGCAAAGCTACCAAATCTGTCCAGCTGAGAATTCCCTAAGCACAGGGTGTGCTCAGCTGGCAAAGATCCAGCACCTGTGGCAGCTTCCCCTCTGCTCAGCTATACCTAGTAGAGAGAGGACAGAGAAGTAGCAGGGCTAGAGCACAGTGTCTTGGGCCAGTGTCAGCAGAAATAGGTTAGAGAAATCCCAAGACCATTTCAACTTATGCTGGAGCACGACTCGTCCTTTCCCCTCGCCCCCACAAAAATCAGCTTGAGATGATCCTCTCTCCTAATCCACAGGCAAGGGCAAGGGGTCTTGTGTGCTGATCTCTCTCTGTCTTTGAAACTGCAGCTCTCCTTACATACATGCAAAATGAAGAGAGATAAGTGGAAGCAAGTGTCCCACACGCTGATACGTTCATGTATGTACAACACACTGTGGCACGATCAAATAACTTTAGCACATGATTGGCAGCAAGGATCCATTGAGTTCTAATACTGGAGGACATATATTCCCTCCATGCCTGAAGACAAGAACACCTCTCTGCCTCACTTCATTCGGCCTTACCCTGGGTCTCCAAAATGAGGTCATTTATTTACTTGCTTCATGAGGATTGGTTGTTTGTAAGGCACACTGAAGAATATGCATTACATGACATACACACTGTTGATAGCAGTCATGATTTTTGGTGTATTTCTTAAAGCCCCATCTGGGATCAAGAGATTGCTTGAGAATCTCAGTTTTAATTTAAAGAAAAATAAAAGAGGAAGTTTCTAGCTCTCATAATTTTGGAGAAAAACATGAAGTGAGTGTATCCTGATGGCAAATTTTTTTTGGTTAAGAGGTTATGATTTTTAAGCCAATCTCATGATTTTTTGGGCCTTACTTTTGAATTTTGAGCACTGAAGGTTAGTAATACTATAGTCATGCTACTTATTACTGATACAGCACCCACATTTTGCTACACACTTTAAAAGCATTTCATCTGTTTGGTTTTTCCTACTTTGAGAGTAAAGTGCAGACAAAGTTAATGGCTTTTTCATATGGAGATATACCTATCTCATAGAGCTGGAAGGGACCCTGAAAGGTCATTGAATCCAGCCCCCTGCCTTCACTAGTAGCAGGACCAAGTACTGATTTTGCCCCAAATCCCTAAGTGGCCCCCTCAAGGATTGAACTCACAACCCTGGGTTTAGCGGGCCAATGCTCAAACCACTGAGCTATCACTTCCCCCGCTACAATATGAATTATACACACAGACACAGACAAAACCCACATACCACACACACACTTGATCCATTAAATGTTAGAATAGCATAAGAATATCCAGGAAGTATGATGAAAATAAGTGATAGGATTTTTATAGTGGAGATACAGTGCTAGTTTTAAATAAACTGGGATATCTATTAAAGTGCTAACAGTTTATGACAGATGGGGTAGGCTAGAAGGCAATAAAGATATGGAACTGCATTAGCTTTGACAGAAAAAGAAATTAATCCAGTTCTGTGTGTTCCATTATAAGATCCAAGCTAACGTTTACTAGCATTTTTAATTAGCTGTCATATTAAAGTTTTCTAAGTAAAATAACCCAACTTTCTTTACAAAAATTTGTAAGTTAGCCAAAAAGTTTCAATCTAACTTTTTTTGGTTGGGAAGGGGAAAGTAGGAAGCAGGAAAAATATGTTATTTATTATTTATTTAAAAACGTAAATTTAATTTAAGATAAATTTAATTAATACTTCAAATTGTCAATGCATACATATGGAATGAAACCCATACATACGTATAACTTAGTCCTAACCTTGTGTTCGTTTAATGTTAGATTCAGATAACTGAGCTATGTTCAAAAAACTATGCTCCACTGATAACTTTACCATAGATTTACCCATTAAAATGCTGAACCCCCTATACAAAAGTCTTCAAGATGTATAGCAAGCAACCATGAGATTTTATTGAGCCAGACTGTGGATGACCCTTACGCTGGTAAAAAGAAGAACAGGAGTACTTGTGGCACCTTAGAGACTAACACATTTATTAGAGCATAAGCTTTCGTGGACTACAGCCCACTTCTTCGGATGCATATATCCACGAAAGCTTATGCTCTAATAAATTTGTTAGTCTCTAAGGTGCCACAAGTACTCCTGTTCTTCTTTTT